TCTCTGTAGATAAATAAAGAACTACGATAGATGTGTAATATTTAATGCAGCCAAACCATTTATTACAATGCATTAATGTGATGACTTTCAAAGAGTAAAGCAAGCACTGCTGAATAAAGTATGATTTTATCTTTTACGAAACGTTTTTTTTTATATGGAATGCAGTTGGAGGTCAACCAATCACAGAGCTTGAGGACTGATCACGGGGTTTGTCAAACAGAGCACATGGTGTAGTCCCAAACGATAGCTGAGGATTCTGGGTAGTGTAGTGTCTTCTGCCATCCAAAAACTCCGAACAAATATTCGTTTCTCCGAATCGAAGGGGAAAATACAAAAGCATTGTACACAATTTAAACCAATCAATGTTGTGTAATTAACAAGGATAATCTGGTGTTTTTGAGTTGATGAGTAGTTCAGATATCACTGTAAAATCAATCGACAGTAAGGAGAATACTTACTTCCGGGTGTAAAATTCTCCGTTATCCAATGGGAATGGATGCTCGTAATACAATAAAGGGGACATGATCATTATCTTTTAAATAACGTTAACTAAAGGGAACAATCTATTGACACAGCTGAAGCTCTGGCCTTCCTTAAAAACTAACTAATTTAATAAAAATCACAGTTGTATTACACACAATGCACTGTTTTTTGAGAACAAAAATTCGTAACTAATGCACCATAATACATTCTGACGACAAATACAAATTATTATGAATACAAATAAAATAAAAGAAGCCTCCCGTGAGTTACTACAAGCTATAAAGTAGATTTAAATTTTTATAGAATAAAAGCTCACTGCGGGACGTTGTAGAAATGCGTGTGTGCACCACGACAAAAGAGCCTCATTCACTTTACATTGGGGTTTTTTGCGTGGTGCCGACACGTAAATGTAGCAGAATGCGTGACTCCACCACGCAATGTGGTGTTAAGGTTGCGTGGTGGAGTCACGCATTCTGGTGAGATCAGGTTGAGACGAACGCTCAATACAGGCGATGACGTCACGTTTGCGCGTCCCCGCGAACAGGGCTTCAATCTACGGCAAGGCTTCAATCTACGGCACATCACCGGCCCTCCACGTCTCCAATGTTCGTTGTGGAGCATAACAGAGGACTCAGACATTGTACATTAAATATATAACTAAACACGCATTTTCTCCTCCTTATCTCTTTCATGACTTTTCATTTAATATGGGTTTGAACGCTGTATTCAATACTCCAAAAAATACAGGAAATACTTCACGGCTGGTTTCATTTCCGGTAGTTCCGGATGTTGTCTCATGCTACCCACATCTGTAAACAAACGTATTCAAATAAACTGTAACTTCATTTAATATTCAGCAATAATAATATCTCGACGTCTATAGTTGTAGTGTTGAAATCAGTAGGTTTAGGTGTGCAAGTAAATGGTATATTAGCCACATGCTAAATGCTAACCGGAGATGAAGGATTTTCAGAATAAAAGCTTAACAACTGGTTGTGCACAAGAACTTCTGGTTTTTCCAGTATAAAACAGCATTTAAACTGACGGTATGTTTAAGCTACTTTATGCCATCAAAACATTGATTTTAATTTCTAACAAGTTCTGTCATCAGATTATTTAATACGATTGTTTCTTTTGATGTGAAATATTATGTATTTAATTAAAATACAAAGCAATGTTAGTTTTGTTCACAATTTGTTTAGTTAGTTTACCGTATTTTTTTCTCCAAAAGTACCGTTAAAAGACCGGACCGATAAGCGGTATCGATAAAAGTAGTAGTACCGTTAAAACCTTAACGATACCCATCCCTAGTCGTAACGGGAACTCCCTCTCCCATCTGATGCTGGCTGTCTCTACCTCTCTGCAGCAGGCTCCGGCCGAGCCTTCTTTACTGGGCCTCAGTGATGCTTCACTGCAAGCCTTTGCCCTAATGTCTAGGGAATTGGGACGAGTTATGTCCTTATTGATGCAGACTCGTCGCCAGGTTTGGCTTGCTCAGCCACCACTGTCGGAGACATGTCCTCCGTGGTGTGCCAGTCGAGCCAGGGGAGCTGTTTGGGGCAGCTGCCCCAAACAGTGGCCTATCTCACATGCCTATGGGGCCAGTGGCCGTCCTTGCCATCAGGGCTGAGATGGCACTCTACAAGGAGCATCTCAATATCTTGGGCTGCCCTGAGAGGGGTGCCACTTTAGACCATCTGTGCCGCGGCGTCTTCTGGAACATTCTCCAGGTTTTATCGGGTTAATGTCGCCACTCCCCATCCTTTGGGCGTGGTCCTTTTGCAGAGCTCCACTGCTTCCAGTAGTGAGCAAGGGCTTGGATTCTTCATGATATGGTTGGTCCATATCCAAGTTCTGGATGACTTATACCAACGAAATAGAACGGTAGAACGATAGTTACATCTGTAACTACGGTTCTGAGTCCCGGATGACCGCCAGAGTATCCTGTCACTCAGAATTATCGTGTGCTCGCGAGAAGATTCTGAGAATAGATCCTCTGACGACACCGGCAGATATAGCCGGTGTCACGTGGGTCACAGGTGACTTTGTTGTTATTGGTACTCGAGCTGCGCATGTGCGCGATGGACATATCCAGTGCTAAAGCACCGCCTCTGGCGTTCATCCGGGACTCATAGAACCGTAGTTACAGACGTAACTTTCGTTGCTGCAGCACAGGCAGTATGAGAAAAATAAAGACCTTTTGAACATTAAAGCATGTGAACATGTCACAGTGATGGCACTATATACAATCATGAAACCTGAATAGCAATAGGGCACCTTCAAAAAAATATATTCAAAAGCAAATGTGTCATTGCCCGCCTTTGACTGATAAATCATTGTGGATATTAAATAAGTTTTCTGACTACATTTTGTTTTGTATAACAAGTTGCAGGATAGGTCCCACTAGGACGTAAAGACATGGTTTGAATGACACATATGATGTCTTATACTCCTATAATTCATAAAGACATATGATTTATATGTGGTTTTATATTCAAAAAGGCTGAACACATTCACCCTAGTGTCACTGGCCCAAACTAAAGGATAAATATAGAAAGCTACTAGTGATCAACTAGTTAAAAACCAAACCTAGCTTTGTTGATTGATAAACAGTTTTTTTGGGTCCAGTGGTGCGTATTGGCTAACTGATTCAAGTGGTTACTTTTCTTCCAAACATAATATAATAGATGATGATTAAACCATTTATACATTGAGAGAACTTTTCTGTTGTCAGTTGTTTCTGAAAGGCTTTATATTGTGAAAAATCTGGAAAAAGAGCTGTCAAAGTGAACGCATGGTATTATGGTGCGAGATCCTTATTTGGGCCAGATCAAAATCCTTTCCCACAAACGTACAGCTTACTGCTGCCGCCTACATAACAAAGGCCCATCATAACTAGCAGGCAAGTTATGGGTTTTGTACTCTAAAAGTTTAAATCACATTTCTATCTACACTGATCTCGTGTTTGGCCTTTCTGGAAACCAACTGACGTAAATACTTTATGGAAGCAGATAACTTTTGTTCCTGTAGATGTATATTTTTGGCAGACAATGTTCAACCTTCTGTTTCTGTGTCCATGTGTCTGGCAATCTGAGATTTTGCAGCAGTTGAGAGCCTCCCTGCCAGAAGCCTGTTGCTTGTAAACTATGGCAGACCGTCCTCAGTGATCTAACTTATATGTAGAGTTTAAAAAAGGTTCTCTGTGCAATGACATTCCTAATTTGCTTTCCACTCCACGCACACAAGAGAATGACCACTGTGTGCATTAGGCTACATAATAAGAGATGAGTGCCAACTTTTATGCAGATAGTTGGTAAATGTATGTGAGTGTGTGGTATATTTTTATATCTGTGTGTGTGAGGTGGAATATTGTAGGGACTGGGGCAGATGACGACATTGTTTATATGGGACAAAATTGGTAACCAGAACTGATTACAAAAAAACAAAGCTCTTCATGCACTAACCTCTTAATTTTGCTCCGGATTGATGCATTAGACTTTAATATGTTCCCCCTAAGAGTGTGCTGGCTCAACCCACCATAGTCCCAACTCTCTAAAAATCTTGTGGAAAACACAGAAAAAACTTAGCTGAAGCCCAGGGTTCCCTTTACGCCCTATTGAAAAAGTGAATCTCCCTGATGGACTTTGTAATTTGCATGGTTTCCTCTGTAGACCCCAAAACAGTCTGTCTTGTGTATTAATCCACTTGTTTTAAGGTTTTCTGTGACTGCTGCAAAACACCCGCATTGACATTTATCTATCACATGTGTTTATTAATTAATGACATTGTTTTGGAATAATGGACAGCGCTGTTTTTAGGATGCATGTGAGGGACGCTGTCCATCAGGGCCGCCCCTCCCTACAGGCCGATCACGCAGACTCACGGAGGGGGCCTCACCTCGCGGAGGGGGCCTCAGCTTGCGGAGGGTGCTTCATTTTGCGGCGGGTGCTTCATTTTGCGGCGGGTGCTTCATTTTGCGGAGGGAGCCTCATCTGAAGCACAAATGCGTCGACGCTCATCATATAACTTTGCGTGGGGCCACAAGTTGGCCACAAGTGGCGTGGGGCCTCAAGTTGGCCAGGGGTGGCCCTGCTGTCCGTAGTGCTGAAACCAGCAATCAAAAAAATACCCCCCCAGGCTCGTCCAGCCTAGCCTGGGTGAATAAAAATGATTGTGAAACTACTCAAGAATACTTAAATACTTATAAAGTCATATTTATGTCTCGATGCATAGGCCTACCTCCCCCCAGCACCTTTACGAGTCATACATTTATGGCCCCCTATTTAAGTGGGTGCATGCCATGGGTACCACTTCCACTTTGTATCTTACATGTAAAATGCAGACGGTCCCTGCGCCTGCCTGCAGCTGACAGACGACAGTTGAACTGGACGCACGAATGAAGTTTGTTGAAATCAACCCATGGCACTGCTACAAAAAAAGCTTCACGTTGTGTTTGTTTAAACGCATATGTGCTTGACAGAGGCTACAGCGGGATAATAGGACAGCGGTGAGGAGTTATGGCGGCGTTGCTTCTCTCCGAGACCGATATCAAGCACCGGTCCATGGCGGAGGAGGATCCGAACGGGAATGAGCACAGGGCGGCTGCACGCAGCGCGGAGCCTCGCTGGGGACCGCAGCACGCCGGGGCCCGACAGCTAGCGAGGCTCTACTCTCCCGGTGAGGACATTTGTATTGTTGTTATTGTTGTTGTCACTTGCTTCGTCAGTAATGGGGCTAAAAATTACACATGGTTACGTTATAGGCCTACAACCACAGTGCGACATGATGATCATAAAAGGGGTTGTGGAGAAACTATAGGCTGATGACATGTCAGTGTGTCAATGAACTGCCTTAAATAATTGCATTAAATAATGTGAAGGGCCCCTACAGACAGAAATATAGTTTTCATTCTGCATCATTCTGCATCTCTGCATGTCTGTCCCTGATGATATTGGTTATTAAAATCTGCTAGAATTAATAGACTAGTACAGGGGTTCCCAACCTATTTTCCCAAGGGTCCCCCCAAATGACTCCTGTTGGAAGTTGCCCCCTCCCACACACACTAGGGGGGGAGCGCGCAACAGCGGTAATTAAAGTGTAAAAGTCTCAAAAATGCTACTACTACTGTCACAAACTATTTTGTTAAAGGAGGATGAAAGCGTAATTAAGGAGCACTATTGGAGTGACTTTGATGGTTATTGGACTCAGGATTATTTCATTTGGATTCCCGCTGTATGAAGAAATTAAAGGAAGGCGCGGAAGTGGAAACAATTCACAAAGGGATTAAACTGTTTAAAACACATGCTCAAAGTAAACCGGATTTTGCCGATGTGTTTATGTGGATTCAAAAGTCGTAAATAATCTACAAAATGGAGGAGACCGATCTGATCGGAGCAACTGACAAATAATCCACCTGAAACCGGCATGGACAATGACTATGTTTTAAAAATGCGCTTATCCAGAAAAGCCTGGTTTGGACACTTTACGGGCGGAAGAAACATTTCTATTAAAGAAAAAATTATACATTTCTGTCTTTGTATGCCTTTAATAGCTACTAACTAGAATTTTTATTCAAATGAATCAATCAATTATTTTTTATATTTTATAGTAATGTAGAGACAAGGCCTTTTACAATTATATGTATAAAAAAAAAAAAAAAAAAAGTCTATATATGATATTTGGCCTCAAATCATCTGAGGCCTGGCGCCCCCCCCTACGATCTTTGGTTGGGAACCACTGGACTAGTATGTCTGAATATAACAGTCAATTAGTATTTCTAATTTAACTTTAAAGTGGGCCTCCAGAGAAAACTTAAAGGCCTCTGAAAAAAGTTTGTCCTGAGTTCAACATACTTATAAACACTCACAACTACCTTTTCAGAATTTGTATCCAAACTTACAAGTTATGGTGGCGGGGTCCAGGAAAGGAAACTTCTGAGTCCTGAGGACAATTGTTGCATGTCAATCTCTATGGGATTAGTTTTGTGTCATAAAGATAAAGCAACACTTTCTCAGAATCAAGCAAAACTAAGAGTTTAAGAGAAACAAAAACTGAGTCAATCAAAATGTATTCAATTTAAAAAATAAAACTATAAGTTGCAAACAAATCATTTGTGTAATCATGTAAACTATAAGTCTTTTTTCTTTGTTTTAACATATATTTTTGTTTGCAGTTCTCTTTGCTTCTTTCTCAATGATCAGACGTTTGCTCTTGCTGCAGCTCTTCTCGTTTGAGCTCCTTCATTTTTTGTTTTCGATTTTGACACAAACGTCCCAGGTGGGCGGGACTTTCAGGGCTGCGTCCCCATTGGTTACTCAGTTTTTGAGTGACAGCCCACAACACCATTAGGCGCATTCACACCGCAGTACTTTTCCCACAAAGGTTCATGAGAACTTAGTTCATGAGAACTCTCTGAACCTGGGGGAGGATTAGGCAAATGATGCCGCTGACGTCACTTCTTCTTCTTCTGCTTTGGGTTTACTGGCAGGCCGCAAACCACTTCACGGCGTATACTGCCGCCCAAAGTCCCCGGCCGGAAGTCCCCGGAGTTGGGGAAGGCTTCAGTAGAAGCTGCTGGGACTCCCAGCAGCTTCTACTGAAGCCTTCCGAGTAAATCGCCAGAACGCCGACACCTCCTCATCTCCACCGCTCCCATGTTTTATTTTGTGTTGCCATAAGTTAGTCTCTCTGCGTTTCTGCGCTGGGATAATGCTAATGCTAATAATGCTAATGCGAGGATAATAAAATGGCGGCTTCACAAAACTTTTTGGGAGTTTTACGGGGCGTGGTTTGCAATCCGCCCAGCCAATCAGACATATAGCTCTTTTCTCACAAGAGAGCCGCACGAAAGTCCCTGCTCTCTAGCAGCTCTCTGCTCTCTAGCAGGGACTTTCGTGGGGGTAAAAAGGTTCTCATGAACTAATTTTAGTACCGGCTCTTTTTGGTGTGAACGCGATAAAAGAGGCTAACGTCCACGCTAGCTTCCACGCTAGCTGCTATATGTTTTGCATTGAGGTGATACTTGAGGCTTGATGTGCTGCGGTGATATGCAAATTCCTTTTTGCATAATTTGCACACAACCGTGCTCTTATCGACGCTTCCATCCGTCCGTTTTTTAAAACAACATTTCCCACTGTTGTTCACTGTGGTTTGTTGTTGTCTGAAGTCATGAACGTTAGTTGGTGCTCCAGTATAATCGGTACGCCTGAAACTCATCCAGTGAGAAACGTTCCGCGGTGCAAAAATAAGTGCGATTAAAATGCGTTAATTTTTTTAACGCGTTAATTTTTGTGTAATTAATTAATCTTAATTAACGCGTTAAAGTCCCGGCTGTCAAGTTAACGCGTTAAAAACGCGTTAACGCAAAAAAAAAATAACGCCACTAATTATTTTAACGCGATTAACGCATGTGTATTTTTTGTCCTCGGTCGCCCCGTAGTTTCAGAAAGCATCGAGTTTAAAATACCATCTACAAGCTGATGCTGACAGCCCCGCTCCTGCCGCCCGCTTGTGGCAGACCACACTTGGACGCTCACCGGCAGGCACCGACTGGCTGACCGGGAGGGTGTGTGTATGTGTGGCCCGAGCGAGCGAGAGAGAGACCTTACGTGCATTGTTGTTGTTAGCATCTGGTGCTAGCTAGCTGCGCTAACGGATATGGAGCTGTGTAAATGAAAACAGAGGAGCGACATTTCGCCACAACTGCGCCGAGCACTTGACTTTATGCAGGAAGCCAGACAGTGGGACATTGTACGAAAAGTCAGCACACTCAGCACGGATAGTGCGCAACATGATTGCAGCGTCCAGGCAGCTCCCGTTCGAGCATATGCCTTGAGTTGCACATAGCTCCAACGATCCATCCATACATCACACACACACACACACACACACACACACACACACACACACACACACACACACACACACACACACACACACACACACACACACACACACACACACACACACACCACACACACACACACACACACACACACACACACACACACACACACACACACACACACACACCACACACACACACACACACACACACACACACCACACACACACACACACACACACACACACAAACACACACAGGTTGTTGTGTATAATATTCATGAGAATATTTGTCATTGTTCAAATGATAATAAACATTAGCATAAAGCATATTTGTCCACTCATATGTTGATAAGAGTATTACAAACTTGAAAAATATTCCTCTAAGGTACATTTAGAACAGATCAAAAATGTGCGATTAATTTGCGATTAATCGCGATTAACTATGGACAATCATGCGATTAATCGCGATTACATATTTTAATCGACTGACAGCCCTAATATATATATAAATATGCCAATGAAATAAATTCTGAAATAAATAAATGAGGCAATAAATATGTAGGCCTATACATGTACATTTAAATACACATTTATTTATTTCATGGGACTTTTATTTCATAATGACACATTTATTTATTTCAAGAGACTTGTATTTCATAATGACACATTTATTTATTTCAGGGGACTTGTATTTCATAATGCCATATTTCCATTCCTTATATGCAAATCAACGGGGCGTGGTTAGCTCACAGATCCAGACCAAAGCAACAGCACCACAACACTGACTCAATAGCTCTTGTTTCACACTCCAGTACTCTTAAGTGGTTTTCAAACTGCCAATAAACCAAACCGGTTCCGGTTCAAGAACCGTTCTTGTGCTTTTCTGGTGCTTAACTGGTTCTTCTCTGGTTCTGCCCCTTTTCCACCAAACCGGTTCCAGAGCCAGTTCCGGGCTAGCCTGATTTAGCTCTGGTTCTTCCTGTTTCAGCCGCAGCGGAGCCAGCTCTAAACACCGAAAACCGGTTCTTAGCTGACCCCACTTGGCTGCCCGGCAAGAACCAAGAACCAAGAACCACGCTCACGTCGGAAGGGGGCTAGATTAACCTGAGCCATAATAACAGTTTATGGTAAGTACGGAAAATGAAAGTTGTAACAAGTAGTAGCGCTGAGCAAAGTGACTAGAACGCAACCACACACTTATAAAAAAATAACACACTTTATAAAGTCAGGCTTCATGTGATTCTGTTTATTTGTACCTTACTTTGACCATCCGTTCGCTGTTATTGATCATTGTGGAGAGCAGGCAGAAGTTTTGTTTTGTATTAGCTATCGGATGGAATCAATACATGGGCTGCACAGGTTGTCATGTCCGACTATCACAAGTAGAATCATAGGCGGCGCGTGAGGCTCAGGTTTGGGAAGGCTAAATAACTTTTTTTACCTGACGCTGCCTGCCTCCGGCGTCTATATAGAAAAGAGATCAACTCAGTGAAAGCACCGCCTGCTGACCAATCCAAGCTCAGTGTGCAGAGTTTAAATCTATCAAGTCATATTACAGGATAAAGGAAATACAGTTTAAACTGCCGTATGCAGAGAAGACGCCGACGTGTCGCACTTATCATTCATATCACATCATCAATCACATCATCGATCATATAATATCATATAGGCCTATCATATATTTCCTTATGAGTCAGCTTCTCTAGCCGTATCTGGCCGTGCAACACTTACATTGTCACATACTGTATGCAGAAGTATTATTTTAAGCAACACATTAGGTTGACAAAACACTCAACTCAAATCTAATTAAAGGCCGATCCACTCGTGTCTTA